GTGTGATATAGGCTTGTCCCAGTGGACCCTTCCAATCAGCTCCTTGCCAGGCACATGAATGAGAGCCACTGTGGACGTTGGAGCCCTTCTGGGCCCCAGTCAACACCGTGCGCAGCAGCAGAATCACCTGCTGAGCCCAATCAACCCCCCAAATCAGGAAAGAGAATACAGCTGTTGTAATCTCTGTTTTGGGGTGATTTGCTTCTCAGTAACAGACACCTGAAACAGCCTATGGTTTTTATTTCATAATAATCGATCAGGTTTCCTTGAATTTATTCCTGCTGATTTTCTGAACTTTTTGAAAACAATTCTCTAACATAGATTTTTATGTTCCAAGGGCTTTAGGCAAAACGTTTTGTAATCTTGCTTTATTTGGTGTAAGTGTACCCATTTTAGCATTGCGACTTACAGACGATGTGCGCTAAATAAAATGCGTGTGTGGTTCACGTAGTTGAGAAGTGGTCCCCCACTTTTCCTTCCGAGTGAACTCGTCTAACACCTGGTGCAAATATACAAGAATCGCTGCTTCCTCCAGAACCCTGGCCATTCTTTACGAAGATAGAACGTGTTATCCGGGAGGAAGGCTGTGTCGGCGAGTGGACCGCGAACCCCCACGCCGCACACCGGCGCCCTCTCCGCACACCTGCTGCCCGACCCCATCACCTACGCGACCGAGGCCTTCGGACTCCAGGTGGACGGCCCGCGACCCTCGGGAGACTTCATCGAGCAGCAGCACGCCAAGAACAAGACCCGCTACGACTGCCGCGTGCCCCCCACCCCGAGTGCCAGCCAAAGCATGCCCTGTGCGTGTTCGGAGCCGCGATGGGGCTCCAGAGTCCACCCGGAGACTGCCAACACCGTGCCAGAGGATGAAGGCCTGCCAGCGGTGGGCGGGGGAGCGCTATGTGCACAGCTGTGCCCTGGAGTTGCAGCCGTTCACACGCATGTCCAAGGCCACCGAGACCCGAGGGGAAGCCGAGGAAGCTGGCAGAGCAGAAGGCAGCCAAGCAGGCAGCTGCAGCCTGAGGAAACCTGCTTTATAAGCCTACTTTGTCTGACTACCGTCCTGAAATAAAAGTTCTGGCTCCCAGAGTACAAGAAGAAAAAAAAAAAGAAACTGTTATCCAGATATAAAATTTATAGTGTTACTTAAAATGAGTTGCTAATGGAATAGGCACCTGTGACTTCCTAGCAATGTCCCCCACCACCACCACCCCCAACTTGGAAACATTCTTAAGTAAACTCTTTGCCATCAGAGAACTTGCAACAGAACTTGACCTCAGATCTGAGAGGGAAGCTAACATCGAAACCAAACCCAACTACGTTTCTGAATATTTGTTTCTGAAACATGTCCTTATAAATTTGTTTGAAGACTTGAGAACTGAATTGCTAACACAGTTCTTGTCGCTTTAAAGCCAAATAAGTCACAGATTAGGCTCTTGCCCTTATTTAAGTTATCCCTCTTAAAAACAAAAGACGCCTTGGAATCAGAAATAAACATTTCCCATCTCATAATACATAAGCAAGAATCTGCCATCGATCTGAAGAGTTTCGATGGTCATAATTTAGATCACCGTTTCTAAATGCTTTCTCACTCACAGAGACGATTTCTATTTATAACCATCTAATAGAAAGCTAAGCTCATTAAACCGGATGATAGAGACTGTTTAGCAATATTCTATCTCGTTGTACCTCCAGAGAGTGTGCAAGCTAATGACTCCCTCATAAAGCTTGTCATTTTAAAAGACGCTATCTACACGAGCTCTATCAATAACCCTGTTGAATCGGTGAAGGGTATTTGAAATGCATGCTTTCTGAAGGATGCTTAAAGAGATCACAGCGCACCATTTTCTCGGCTGTTTTGTTAACAACAGACATCTCCTAATCTACAACAATCAGAGGCATCAGCCACCATTTACTGCATGGCCATTTAGTGGTATATCATCCGACCATTTTCCCTCTGTAGTCTCGGCCACATCGCCGTCCAGCCTGCATTCGTTCCTCAGTAGAGGCTGGTCTTAGTACCTCAGAGAGGCCGGGACAGGAAATGGATAGTCATGGACTGTCTCCTTCTCCTGGAAGGTGCCTGTCTGTAGAAAAGCATTACCTGGATCCGTGTCGAGAGCACCGCCTCTATCTGATTTCTGCTGAGGAGCTTTTCATAGTTTGCCCTGACCTCATTGAGTAGCTGGGACAGTTCCATTCCTTTCCCATCCTCCACCTTGGCTAAACCGAACCTCATCGATAGGACGAGTCGCTGCTGCGGCAGGGCCGGCTCTGCCTGCGTAGAGAGCGGAGAGACAGAGATCCCGCGGAGCCTTAAAGATGCAGAGCTCCGTTTTCCATTCTTTTTAAAAAGAGGCTCAGAAATTCCCCGCGTCTCACGGATTATGCAAATAGGGCTAGAGGCTTTGTGCCTGTTGCTGTGACAGCAGGGTCAGACTTCACCACAGACAAGCGGAAGCCCCTTCGGCAGGCATGCCTGAATGGATTCCCTGTGAAAATGAGCACTTGAGGAGGGAAAAAAGGTTATTATTCTTTTTTGGAGGTGGGGTGGGGGGAAGAAAGGGGATGCAAAAAGGAAAAGAACATAGGAAGAAGATTATTATTAAGTCTTCTAAGACGTGCGTGGCCTGGAAATAAATCTGGTTTCAAAGCATGCTGCCTGATTTTTTCTTCCACTCTCGTTCTTACCACTAGGATTATTGACGGGAATGCTAGGGTGGGTCTTTAGACTATGCTGTAAATCTTAAATATCCTGATGATGATTGGAAAAAGGGACGATCCGATTAAGCTGGCAGCAGTCATTAGCCAAGGACCCGAACCAAATTCCCTGCGGTCGAGTGGATGGCGACTTGCAGCCATCCTGTCGGACAGGGGAGAGCTGTCCCACTGAGTTTCTGAGGCTGTCGCTGTTTAAGGGCATAGATAGCCTGATCTTTCTCTCGAGGGGCAGCTGGTGGTTTCAAACTGTGGACCTTGTGGGTCACAGCCCAGTGTGTAATCACTGTGCCACCAGGGCTCCCCAAGCTGAAGCCGGACAGTTCGGTTGTATTGGAGAGAAGTTAGCCAATGACAGGTAGGCCATCTTTCTCTCCAGTACAAACTGTGTGCTTGATGGCTGGCTGTGAGGCATTGAGGTGAATTCCTAAAGAGTTCCTGTAATAAGCCAGTGCTTTGCAATAAAGGCTCATAGGGCGTGGGAGCTGTGAGTCAATGTTCCTAAAGCATTTAAAGTTGAAGAAACAGAACCAGAAGGTCCCCTGTTAGGGTGTGTTCATGGAGGCAGGATCTGTTGTTGGGTGGCTCACTAATTAGTAAACATAGTTAATGACATAGTAAACACCCCATTTCCTCAGCACTTCTAACTCTAAGAAGGACTTTTGGGTTCATTTATCTAATCTTCACAATCCCTGTCTTTTTGTGCTGTGTCAAGAGAAGACTAAGGCCAGAGGGGTTCAAGTGTCTTGCCCAAGGTCATAGGGCAGCACGATGACATCTTTGGGACAGGAACTTTGATTGTATACTGGATACATCACCTGTCTTTCTCTGCATCATCTCTCTCTCCACCGAAATTCTGTGTTTACTTTCATCTGGCCATTGAGTTACAATTTTGAAGTTGTGTCGAGAAGCAATTTTGAGAATGGATCTATGCTTATTATCTATAGGGTGGCTTGAATGAGATTTTCCTTAGGGAGTAGTTCTGGGAGTATCAGTCCTTGGCTCTGGGCCTCTGCATATGAATTCTGTTCATTTAGTATCTGAGTTAATGCACTGAAGGTCAGGGCATTCCCATCATGCCCCCCAAGCAAAGCTGACCTACTCACAGCCCGTGCC